TCACCGTTACTTTTAAATACTATCTAAGTTCATGTTCTTCAAGGTCTAAAATCACCCAAGACATGGGTTCCGATCGAAACTTAACTAAAAGTGACTTTAAGATAAAAACAAAGTTTTTCCAATCTATTTACTAACTTTGAAAATTAAAAACCCACCCACGCTATTCGAAAAATTCTACAACCCTCCAGATATCAACTAATATATCCTAAGTTTCAAACCCAATTGGTTTCACTTGATTTTCCTGTCAAAATAATTATTTACAATTAATTATGCCCAAACAGATTGTTTTCTGCAGCACTTTAAAGAAATTGACGGTTCTCTTAGTATACATGAGCAATCAACACAAGGACAAAAACGTACGAAACTATACTCGTAACCGGTTCTAATGACGCTAATTTGATAATTTTTGGATTTATACCCAAAGAGAACAACACTCCCGAACTTACTGTTTAAAACCAGTTTTCTGGACAGATTTGAACGCATCAGTTTATATGGATTTTAACTTCCAAAAATTATGAAAAAATTCAATATGTATTTAATCTACAGTAGAAATTTCAATTCAAAATTCATTCGTTTGATATGGTTTCTTGATTTTTAAAGTTTGCGATTCTGTACAAAATTTTTGGACTAAGAATTACACCATTCATTATACATGAATTTAACTCCTCAGATTTCTTAACAGTATATATATATATACAAAATACATAAACCTACAGCCTCTCCATCAATGAACTAAATAATAATAGAGTAAGGATAAAGAACAAAAACAAAGAGAAGAAGAAAGATAGAGACCTACCACACACCCAAAAGTTACTCCTTGTTTGCAACCCTCTTTTTTTTTCTTCTTCTTTTCTCTCAACCTCTCTCTCCTCGTGGCTGCTGTGGCTGCTGTTATACATTGTATTAGGCAACCTAGGGTTACTTTATATATCTAAACAAAAAAGCTCTAAATTATTATCTCGTTATATTATTTTATTTTTTAACCCATTAATTTAAATAAAATATAACTATTAATATAACAAAATATACTTACTAACTTATCCTCTATATATATATAATTTTTAAATAATAAATCTTGCCTCTAAATTAAATATTTTCACCATAAATTTATTTTAAGTTTAAAATTAATTAAAAGACCCTCTAATAATATTTAATTCGCACTTAAAAATTCACAATAAAATATTTGAGATTTGTAAAATTATTATTATCTAATTATTTATTTTATTTGTATATTCGGGTTCTCACAGTCTTGAATACAAAGAAGGCCAATACGTATGCATCTCATTACTTCTGACTCCGAACATAAGTCGCCCATTACTTTATCCATTATGTCTGATGCCCTGTTTTCATTGCACAATTGCCATGCCTGGAATAGTTTCATATATGAAATTATTAGAACCACATAATGGTGATGATTGACAGTGTTTGAAAGCTCGTAAAGGTGAAGCTGCACTTACATAACCAAGGAGGTTCACATATTTTTCATAATAATGGAAACTGGTATTCTTCATGCCACTGACAATCTCTAGCAGCAAAATACCAAAGCTAAAGACATCCGACTTCTCTGAAAATAGCTTTTCCATTACATACTCGGGAGACATGTAGCCGCTCTATTTGATTGGAAATTTTTACATTTATGCTTACCTAAGATTACAAGGCTTCCAATAATTAAACATAATGTTATATTCGTAAAAGGGGACACAATTATTTTCTGAATCACTTATACTGCCTAAAAAAATATAGAAGCAAGTAACGATTTTTATATAAAACAAGATGATTTTACTCTAGTGGTTTGCTTGTTCTGGAAATTCAACATATAAGAAGGGAAGATAACTTTATAAATGTGCTAATAGAAGAGACATTTATGCTTTTCTGTAATGTTGAGATCATTCTTTCGATCTGTTTTCTCCGCAAAATGTTGGCATAAGAACTCAATAATAGAGGTAAGTAATCAGGGGGAGAAAGAGACGTTAATAGAAGGTTGAGAAAAAGAGAGAGCACTCATAATCCTTGCTTTTTAGCAATAGCCAATACAGTTAAAGAGCTAAATGGAAGTAATTTTACACCTTGCAGGACTTTGTTGTAGAATAATTAAGAAGCAAACGTGAAAGGGTTTTCATTGGCAATTAAAAGTAAAGGTGTTGTTCATGCTATATGACATTCCCATGGTCCTGCTGTAACTTATTCAAATGTTGTTGAATAGACTGGAACATACTCCATTGCCTTTTCACTAGATGAGGCACCTAGAGGATGAACAAAAATAATACTTATCTAATGAAGTCAAAATAATCTAGTAACTAGTCTATTTGTAACTCTAGTCTCCGTCCCAATCCAAGAAATATAATTTTAGCCCATTTGCAAAGCAGTAAGCCTTTTGTGATCCCTATTAGTGGTTACTTCCATTATACTTTCATTTGTAATATTTCAAACATAAAATGTTCCATGTCATACATCACTTCATAAGTAGGGAAAATAATTGGAAAAGATGAGCAGAATCTATTGAAGAAAAGAAAGGATCCTTACAATGTTCCAACCACCCTGTGAGTGTTTGGTAGCTCCTGTGTCACTCGGAAAGTCCTTGCTAACCCAAAGTCAAAAATTTTTGGATTCATGTCATCATCCAAGAGAATATTGCTGGTCTTCAAATCTCGGTGAATAACCCTTAAACAAGAATCACGACCATCTGGCAATACCCTGAACAATGTGGAAGCATTTAGCCCAATCAAGCCACACCCTTTTCGTTTCATCTAATCAAAAGTATGACAGTAAAAAAGAAGCATTCATCAAGATCAATCCTTTCCATACATTATACCACCAATTTATAAGAGAACAAAGACGAAAACAAGTCTTAAAATTTCTTTCCTCAGTTCTAGACATAGTTGTAGTAACAATATCGAATGAGCTATGAAAAATTTACATGAAGAAAGATGAGAAGATTGTAAATTTTGATGTTTGATTTTCTTTTTCATTTTTTAACTGACACATTCTCTACAATGTGCTTTCATTTTTTTTAAAAAAATTATGTTTGAGTAAGAGTGGAAATAAAATGTGCCCAGTTAAAATAGTTATTTAGGGAATATTTCACGTATGGTTCACTCCTACTTGAAACTGAGTTAATCTCGTTACGTTTTTTATGGAAAAACATAGGGAGATTAGTCAAGATAATGTACAATATTCCAAATGGTATTGTCAATCTATATAGATTGACAAGATTCCTATGCTGCAGTTTGGAGATCAATACGATCTCATTCTTGAACTCTTCTGCGCCTTGTCCTGAATGCCTTGAAAGTCTTTTCACTGCCACTTCTTGCCCATCTTCTAGCTTCCCCTGTGGTCCACAATGTTTATTAGTTATTCAATGGGAAGATGGTACTTGTCCATGTAGTCAGTGTCATAATTCATGTACTCATAGAAAAGAATAAAATTACCTTATAAACTGGTCCAAATCCTCCTTCCCCAAGTTTGTTTGTTCAGCTGAAGTTGTTAGTAGCGACTTTTATTTTATCAAAGTCAATCATTGGTAGCTCTGATGGCTCCCAATGTATGACATGGTCTTGCAAGGTGTCCTTTCTATCAACCACATCAAAGTGCTTCATCCTCTTTTTTCTCTTTACTGATGTTAAATATCGAACCATAGTCCATAGAACAGAAAATTATTTAGATTTCTCATAGTGCTTCATCCTCCAATTTATGACATAGCAGCTGATAAGAGATTATTTTCTTTTTTCTATGCTATTTTTGTGTTTGGCAGCTTAAATTTTTTTTAAAATTTTCTTCCTGTTGTTTCTCAGATTACAGTGCCTTAAAAATTATAAAATTTGCAGTTTATTGAACTAAAAGATTCTGTCAAATAATCTGAATGTTAAGAGAGCAGAATTTTGTATTTTTTACAGAAAATAAATGAAAATGAAATGGAAATCATTATTGAAAATTACTTCAAACTAATCTTGTGACAAGAAGGATAAGTAGTAACGAGCCCTTATAATTTTAGTGAAATGGAAATCATCATTTTACTTTGAGAGGAAAGAGAAAAATGATGGCCATGACAAATTAGTTTCAGAAGAAAATACCCATCTCAAAAATTAAAACATTATTGAAGCGTTCATGTACATGATGTAAAAAAAAAAAACCCCATTCTTACCTCTTTGATTTGCTCTCCACCTGTGCAAACCACACATGAAGGCACCCAACAAGACAACCGCAGAAATTGTTGCAAAGACGATGATGAATTTTTCATATTTCTTATCTTTTTCTGAGAAAAAAGAAAAAAAAGAAAATGACGAATAAAACATTAAAGAAGATACTAAATATAAAAAAATGTTTTCTACACATAATATTTTCTAAAAAACGTTTAGGAAAATGCTTTCCACCGAAATAAACAGAGCATACTAATCTGAAGATATTAAAGCCCAACACAATTAACTTTACCCAGATCCGAATAGGCCAGGTGAAGGAAGAGGTAGCTTCCAGCATATGGAAACTGCTGAACATCCATGAGGCCTCCAGACCAAACCATACACCCAATTCCAGTCACATATGCGTATGCCACACAGGAACAGTTGCTCAAGCACCATTGCGGGCAACCTGAGGAATCCTCATTGTATAAATAGTCATAATGAGCCGGCAGCTTCATCTCGCTCTGCTTCCTAAACCCATCCATTTTAGCTTTTCCTGATCCTAAGCTGCTAATGTTCTTTTGACATAGTAGCTCAGTTTTTCTCACACACTCACCTGTCCAATTTCCTTCCATCCACTCCTCAGTTGCCTGGGGGACAAACCCATCCAAGCATTGACAAATTGGAGACCTATCATAATTGCAAAGCCCAAAAGGTCCACAAACCTCATAAACATCACATGAATTCTCCGGTTCCACCCAACAGAGAAACCAGTTCTTTACATTTTCCTCCCAGTGCATTATCTTCAAATTTCCTGCTGGTGTTAAGAACATAATTTTGACATAAGAGGTGTTATAAATGTCCATTGTGAGATACTCAATTCCCTGCTGTTTATCAGGTAGGAGGTTGAATCCATTGGCATAGCCCTGGTCAGTGTGCCGGATCCCTATGAACTTCGATCCATCCCATGGACCACTTCTCCAGTACGGCCTGGAACCATTCCAAGTGAAATCTTGTGGTGGTGTGTCCAGTGAAAACCCGGTAACAAAGTTTCCAGGTGATGGGTCCTCTTCGGTCTTTCAGGAAGAGAAGAAGCGTTTCTCTCCTGTTTTGGTGTTCAGTCCATCATGCCCAAAAAGAAAGTGTCACCTTAATAGGTAATGCTCTCCCACAAGGTCAATCCAGAGACATTATCTTTAAGAGCAAAGTCTCCCTTGTCCGAAAGCACTGCAATTGAGTTGTTGGACTGGACAGAAACATTTGCTGACCAGACGGTGTTCCTCATGCCATCGAGTAGCCTCAGATTTCCATCTGTACCAATTGTTAGACTTGAGGCAGAGTCTGTTGATGAAAATGGATTCTCTCTGTTTAGCACCCACACAACTTTGCGAACAGGTATTGGTTTGTGGAAGTACCATATCCCAATATACTGCTTACCAGAATTACCGGGAATGAAGAAGCCTAACTTGAAGACTTGGCCAGAGGAGATGAGAGTTTGTCCTATTGAGATTTGTTGTGATTGAGTAAAAGTATCAGTTGCAGAGCAGTGTTGTGATGGAAAAGTGAAGAAGACAAACAAGAGGAATGAGAATGAAAGAAAAGCACTAGGACTTTTACATTGGACACCCATCTTGTGCAGCCTTGCTGAGTGCTGCTTTGTTTTAAAGGTGTCCTGTAGTGGTTAAATAGCTTCGGGCCCAAGGATATGGTTGGTGGAATAGTCATAGGGGTGATTTCCACACCTTGACTTACCTTTATGCTCACAATTCTTTCATTTCATTGACATTATGACAGTCAAAATGTCTCTATCAGTGGACTAAAAACTGAGAACTTGTTGCACTAATATAAGAAAAGAATGTGGTATAAAACCCGAGTGCAGTGAATTTTATAATATATCAAAATGATCTGCCTTCTCTCAGAATTTGGAAGAAGTACATTCTGTTCCGCTTGGTAAGGCTTACTATTGGTTCTATTTTGGTAATACGAGATATTCATTCTGTATGGGCTTGTGTATGAATCATATAAATAATAAATAAAATCAGATTGATTCAATAAACAAACTTGTAGACACTCAATTTTGACCGGTTTTAAGACTTAGAAACTTTCTTTTGAACACTCGAGAATGAAAATTAGAATATGTTATTTTATGAATTTCTCAATAGAAAAATTGAATTTAAGACTTAATCCCAACCTTTATCCATTTTAGCCAAATTATTTTCAACTACTAAAATATATTTTATTGGTTTCGTATTTTATAATTTTACATAAATTAGTATAAATACTATATTTTAAATATTTTATATTATATATTAAAATTAATTAAATAAAAAATAACATAAAAAAGAAAAAGTAGAAGAGAAATCAAACTTGCCTCCAAAAAAAATAATAAGAGATAAATCAAACTTGCCTCCAAAAAAAATAAAAAATAAAAAAAACAAAAAATAAATTAAAAAAAAAAACAAGAAGAAGAAGAAGAAGAGAAATCAAATTTGGCTTATATAAATATCTAAACTATTTTATTATTATTAATTTTTTTTGATAATTTTGCCTATAAAAGGCAAGGAATGGGTTCATGATTTAGATTTTTTGTTTTTGTTTTTGTTTTTGTTGATAATTTTGCCTATAAAAGGCAAGGGAGGGGTTCATGATTTAGAGGTGAAGAAAAAAGAGAGCCGGAGAAGCTCAACGTGGAGAGAAAAAAAAGAAAAGAAAGAATAAAGGAAAAAGAAAAGAAATTGTTTTCAAAAATTCTTGAGAGAATTGATTTTCAAAAATCAAAATTTGTTTTAATCAACTTTTCTATTCACTGATATATAACACCCAAAACCACATTAAAGTTAAAACTTGAAAGATCATGCGGAGATTCCAAAGCATACACCATAACTAAGAGGGTGTAAAGAAGAAAGTTTGATAATAAGAAAATTCATCTTTTTCTCTAAAGGTGAATTTTGCAATCTTTTCATTTATTTTCTTGTATTCTCTTTATTGTTTTAAATATGTGATATTTAGGTTGTGGAAGTGGAAGGTTGAGCCCATGTTCCTTAGATTTTGTTTTAGAATATGTATTTAAATATGTGATATAAAAATATGATTTAAGTTGGTTGAGATGTAATTTCTTTAATAATTATATTATATTGTATATTATCATACTGTAATATATATATTTTTGGTGCAGTGGTGGATGAAACCAACATGCACATCTCTAATGTATATGTATATTATTTATTAATTTTATTACATTTATCATGAAAAAATAAAAAAAGAGAAGGAAAATAAAAAGAAACATAAATGTTGCTACTTTTGCTGGTTTTAGTCTTTAAATATATTTTGAGGGAAATATATCGCAAGGGTTGCTTTGGAAGAATGGTTAAGGTGGAGGATATTGTGTCTTTAAGTTAGGGGTTCAAATTCTTTCTTCGGCATCCTTGAATTTATTTTTTGGGTATAGTCATCTTAGCGCCACATCATCAACACGGACCAATCTAGTCATGCCACGTTAGCAAACCCACCATGTCAGCATTAGGTATAGTCATCTTAGCGCCACATCATTAGCATGGGCCAATCTAGTCATGCCACATTAGCAAACCCGCCATGTCAGCATCACAATCAGCACTGACAGAATATTCCCCGTCTTGACGGAATATTCCTTTCTCTAACGAAATATGCCCCCGAAAGGTAATTTAGGGCTGTTTTTGATACAAAAAACTTGTTCAAAGCTAAACAGACCGTTCCGAATACAACCGTGAGGTCAAAATGGAGAAATTCTGAATATAAAGTTTCTGTTTTTCTTTTAATTTAAGAGATTTGTGACATTTTATTTTGTTGTAATATTTTCTTTGTCTCCTCCCTTAATCGAATATGTAATTATTCAAATAATGTAATAATTCTTCACCCTTACTTCTTGCTATCCCATTCTTTTACTTGCTTTCCTTATTTGCAAATATGCAGCATATATTGTCTTTTCATCATATCCACACGTTGCATCCATGTTTCATGCATCGTGATTCGACTAAATTTGCATTTATGGATTTAATCAATTCTTATGTGATTATGTGCGCTACCTCATATTCTTAAGATGACTCACATGCCATATATTAAAAGTCGAATCTTTAGTTGCATTTCATGAGTGAATTGCATTAGGATTTTGTACATAAGATCATTTATATTTTGATAACTTCGCTTTGTAGCTGCTCGCAAGACATCGATAAATATGCAAAGTTTTTATGCTTTAACATCCTGCTTTTGTGTGTTTTTCTTACTGTGTTTAGCATCCTACCATGTGGATATTTGTTTATTTGATATATCTCTATGAATGTTAGTGGATGGAGGTTGTGTTGTTCAATTTAGAATAATATCGATTTTCGTGTTTGTCAGCTCAATTTCTGTTGAGTTGAACATTATTCAAACTCTTTCAAAATACATGAAATCAAACTATTCCAAAATGAACAACACAGTCTATACTTGTTTGCTTCACATAGTAGTTTTTAGATTTATTAAATAATCAGAACATGAATCTATACTGTCTATAAAATTCGTATCATGGCATAGTAGAGGCCGACCTTTGATCGGGTGAACGGGAGTAACTCAATTAATGACCTTCCCCCCTCATACCTAAGGTTCCGAACCGAGACATCTCCGGTTACGACGAATAGTGGCCTTGGCACGAATCACGAGTTTCCTAATTATTCCAAAATATTAGGTGGCGACTCTAAGATTTGGTGATACAGTCCATTTCTGGCAAATGTTTTGCAATAAAATGAATTTTCTATAAAAGTTGTCAAATCTGGACTCTCATCTATGCTTCACATTGCACTCGTAAGACTATATCAAAGAAATCGAGGATCTAAATTGTTTAGCACGCTCGGGTACCCCCCGGGCATGCGACAATTTTTGGCAACTCTGCTAGGGATATTAAGAAACCTTGACTCGAACTCCATGATATGAGTTTTATTTATATTTATATGTTCATTGCATTGGTGTGCTTAAAGTCCCTGTGATGCCCAGGTCGTGATGGGAACACAGATAATCTTTTTGTGACCCTAAATAATCCTAAATGAACCTCAATAAAAATATATTGAACTTGACATAACAATCTGAAAAATAAACATAAAAAAAAAATGAATGTCCTAGAGGTCCATGTAATTGAGTCCCCGCTATGCCATGAGTCCACTCTAAGTCCTTCTATCACCTAGAAATGACAAACAACTAAATCAGCTGATAGCTTAGTGAGTAGAAGCATGGATAATAAATACAGTTTTGAAAACAGGGTTCAATTCCAAAATAAGATATATATATATATATATATATATATATATGTATGTATCACATAAACTAGATTGGTATACCTTTTTAATAAAGACAGTCTGTTTCAAAAAGATGGTTCCACAGTTCGACAGTTAAAACAGTCATGCCTCTCAAGAACATAGCAAATGACATTCTCCACTTAAAACAAATTACAACATGATCACCAATAATTTTCTGGGTACCAAGAATAACAAGTAACATGCCACAAAATTCTCAAGGCAATAAGCTCATTGGATCCAATATCGAACCAAGAGTCATCCTTGGGGTGGCAACCCGTGCCTTTTCTCTAAGATGATCCGATTAAAGATCACCTAGCCTAGCCTAGCCTAGGTCTTTTCCTTGTAATAATCATTGATCACTAGAGTCATTACAGTCTAACCCGGATCTATTCCGTAGTGGCCAGAGTCACCACTCAATGGAATAATTTCCATGAACTTTTATATACAGAGGGTGCCAATAATCAATACAATTCAGTTTCACAAAACATGGTAGTTCACCATTATAAACATGAGACCATAACAAATAGTTTACAGTATGCCGAGTTTACACATATTTCAGAAATAATTTAATTCCATTGACACTATAATAATTTATCAAAACAATGTCCTGAAACAACAATTTAATTTTCCAATAGTTCAGGGTAGGGGAACATTTATAAAAATATGTAGCATGCAACTACTCACATGAACACAGTATAATATAATCCTCAAACCAAATAACAAAGTCCAACTAGTGCCATGAACCAAGCACGAAAACTACATGTCACTAGTAACTCAAAAATACTAAAAAGAATAACAAACTAAGTAACCCCAAGCTAAATCACACTATCACGGCTCAACCCGACTCACCATTATTATTAAATAATACCTAAGTTCATGTTTTCAAGGTCTAAAATTACCCAAGACATGGATTCAGATCGAAACTTAATTAAAAGTAACTTTAAGATAAAACAAAATTTTAAACAAGTTTTCCCAATTCATTCGCTAAATTTCAAAATTAAAAACTCACTCCACGCCATTAGAAAAATTCCAAAACCCTCCAGATATCAACTAATATATCTTAAGTTTCAAACACAATTGGTTTTACTTGATTTGCTTATCAAAATAATTATTTACAATTAATTATATCCGAACAGGTCACTTTCTGCAGCACTTTAAAGAAATTAATGATTCTCTTAGTATACCCAAGAAATCTACGCAAGGCCAAAAATGTAAGAAACTATACTCGGAACCGGTTCTAATGAGGCTGATTTGATAATTTTCGGATTTATATCCAAAGAGAACGACACTTCCGAAGTTACTATTTTGTATTAGTTTTCTAGACAGA